TGACTCGACGGCACATAACAACAACAACAACAATGGTAATAGCAACCCCTCCTTGGGTTTCTGAGGCAGTATCACTTTGGAAATAGATTGCCCAACCTTCCTTCTGAGGAGTGGCTGGTCGGTTTGAACTGCCAGCCTTCTGGTTAGCAGTCAAAAGCCTTAGGCGCTATGGTAATAGAATTTTTGCTTTGTTGATTATTACTTATTTTCTTCCCCTGTGGCCTTTGCTACACGAAGTGTGATCTGTGGACCAGCAGTCATTGACTTTACCTGGGAGTATGTTGGAAATGTAGACTCTCAGGCCCCATGTTGGAACTGCTGAGTCAAAATGGGCATTTCATTTTAAAAGGTTCTCAGGTGATTTTTATAAACATTAAAGTTTGTGAAGCACTGCTTTAGATAATTATGGAAGTACTAGTAGTTGTAAGGAGCTGTGGTGGTGTGGTGGTTAAGGCACTTGGCTGCTAACCAAAAAGGTTGATGGTTTGAACCTACCAGCCACTGTGCAAAAAAGACGGGGCAGTCTGCTTCTGTAAAGATTTATAGCCTTGGAAAACCAGTGGGAGTCACTGTAAGTCAGCATCAACTCGATGGCAGTGAGTTTTTTTGGGAAAGGTGGTGGTAGTTGTTGGGTGTCATCAAGTTGATTCCAATTCCTTATGATCCCTTGTGACAGAGTATAACTGTCCCATCTTGGCTGTAATCTTTATGGAACCAGGATTGCCAGGTCCTTTTCCTCCCATGGGGACACTGGATTCAAACTACCATCTTTTTGGTTAGCAGCTGGAAGTAGAGAAGAGTGCTTTCTAAAAGAGTTTACTTCTGTTTGATTTGAAATTGTAGTGCATATACCTCATAAGTCAATCATTCCAATTTCAGATATTCAGTAATGCTGAAATAGTGGTTTCAAGTAAACAAAAATGTGAAGATTTGGGTACTAAAATGTTATTATTGTATGCTGAATATCAGAATACTAAAAATGGATGTTACAATCATTAGGCTTAAAGTTTTAGTTTCTGTTCATCTTATTTTCAAGCATTTGAGCTCTTAAGATGCATTTTTGTTTCTCTTAAGAGCAGAGAACATTAAAAAAAATTATGACTAATGAGTCTAAAAGGGCAAATTCTGTTTTCTTTAAATTTATCATAAGTATTTAAATGAACTTTAAGCCCAGTAAGTATCTATCCTTTTTTAAAAAAAAAATTCTGTGGTAAAACATATATAACAAAACATTTGGCATCTTAACTAATTTTAAGTGTACAGTTCACTGTCATTAATTACATTCATCATGTGTGTACCCATACCCACTTACCCATTTTCCAATTTTCTGATCTCCCTGAACAAACTCAGTACCCATTAAGTACTAACTCCTCATTTTTCCTTACTCAAGTGCTTGATAGCCGTTAGTAAAATTTTGTCTTTATGCATTTGCCTGTTCTAGGTATTTCATGTAATATTTGCCCTTTTGTTTCTGACTTATTTAACTCAGCATATTTTCAGGGTTCATCCATGCCACAGCATATATCAGAACTTCATTTCCCTGTGATTTCTTCTGATAATGTATGGTTTTAGTTCTTATATTTAGGTCATTGATCCCTCGAATTAATTTTTGTATATGGTGTGAGGTATGGGTGTGAGGTATGGGTCCACATGCAAAAGAATGAAGTTGGACCCATACCTTACATCGTATACAAGAATTACAAGTATTGTTAGTAGAAAGAGGTTGAGAGTGTGGCAAGAAAGATTTTGGAGGCTGAGGGATAGGGGTACAAATTTTGATCATTTACTTTGTACTGAGAGTCAGAAAATAATGGAGTAGGGAATTACCTGATATTTTTAGCCTGTATTACTGGAAAGACGATGATGCCATGTAACATATTGCAATATAGGTTATATGTTAATAAACTCATACAGCTCTAGTATTAATTTAATTATAATACTGAATTTTGCTCATCTGGAATTTTTTGAGCTCTTTATTACCCTTTATTTATATTTGTTCTCTCAGAAGTATAACTATCAGTAGTGTATAGTATTCTCTATGTTAACTGTAAAGAAGATATTTGAACTTTTTTAACATTAATTAATTTTCAGTGTTTGTGATTTTTTTTTTTTCTGGAGTCAGCTTAATGTTTCACATGGCCTTATAGTAGGAAAATATCCAATATGTTTACATATTAAATATAAACAATTAATATTTTATCCTTCTTCAATATTAATTGAAAAAGCTATGAACTCACCCTCCCTTTTTGTTTTGTATGTCTGCTTTATAATGTAGGGAGGTATGGAAACTTTGGAACTCCAGAAAGAGGTGAAAGAAGAATCAGATGAAGAAGATGATGATGATGAAGAATCTGGGAGATTACGTTTCAAAACTGAAAGAAAAGAAGGAACAATTATTAGGCTCTCAGATGTAACTAGAGAGAGAAGAAACATTCCAGAAACTTTGGGTAACTTTTTTTGCCTGTCTCCCATCTTCTCCACTCCCATTTCAACTTCCTCCATAGTATTGTTAATGATTAATTAAATAGGTTGGGGGGGAGTTGACTTTATAGATTTTATGTCGTCCAGAAGTGGATGACTTGTGTCAGGCTAGTGCCACATTTTGGTGCTATAAAATCCAACCTATAAAATGTCTTGTCATTTCTGGATTAAAAATGTTTGAAAAAAATATTTAAGATTGTTTGTTTTTTAGTAATTTTCATTTTGGAGTCTTTGGCATAGAGCTCCTTTTATGCATACATACATTGTGGTTCCTGGATGACCCTGAGAAGGTGGCATGGAATGATAGCTACAGAACCAGTATATGCTTGCCAAGGCACCATAGGTTGTCAGGGCTAATGCTGGACCACACTGGTTTATTTTGTGTCTTTTATTGTCATCACTATCATTTTTTTTTTCTGCCATTCCTCTCAGTGTTTGATGAGACAAGGTGACTAGTTAATAGAAATAATTAATTGACTATTCTGAGCAAATACGACTTTTAAAGATCTACAGTTGGCTGTTGTAATAAAAGATCTACAGAGATTTTTTTTTTTTTTTGATAGTGACTCTACCTTTCTGTAATGTTTTTTTCCAGTGTTCATTTCAAACAATAAAGCAGTGGTTCTCAAATTTGAGTATACTTCAGAATCACCCAGAGGGGTTGTTAAACAGATTCCTAGGCTGAAACACATTCTTAGACTGACTCCCAGCTTTTCTGATCAAGCAGGTCTAGGGTGGAGCCCTAGACCCTAGAAATAACTTTGTATTTCTAACAAGTTTTGGTGTTGCTGCTACTCTGGAATTTATACTTTTAAAACCACTGGGATACTGTACTGTAGGGAGGGTATGAGAGCAGAAGGACCAGAATGGGTTATACCTTTTCTTCAGTCTTGGTCTAGATGCAAGTTAAGAAACAAATCCCCAGTTGCTATCTTCATTATTTCTTCTTCCTCTTTTATTTTCCATTGTTGTTGTTGTTGTTATGTGCTGTTGAGTTGGACCCGACTCATAACGACCCCTCCTTGGGTTTCCGAGGCAGTATCACTACAGAAGTAGATTGCCCCATCTTCTTTCCGAGGAGTGGCTTGTGGGTTTGAACCTCCAGCCTTCTGGTTAGCAATCACGTGCCTTAGGCACTATGCTACCAGAGCTCCCTAAAATCATTATTTACAGCTGTTTTCAGTCTTATTTAAAAAAAAAAAAAAAAATTCCAGAGAAGCATCAGCATGTATCTAAGTAATTGATAAGAATTCTGCATGAGGATACTAAGCTCCCAAGATCTTCAAATTACGTTAGTGAGCCAATCTTAACCATGTTGCCTTACTAAACAGGATTTATATAGAGATTGGTATGGAGTCTCTGCCCTTCCAAAAACTGTTAAGTTCCACCTTATGTTGGAAGGAACTTGTGTCTTCCTCCTCTGTTGTTGTTGTTATATGCCGTCGAGTCAAACCTGACTCATAGCGACCCCTCCTTGGGTTTCCGAGGCAGTATCACTACAGAAGTAGGATTGCCCAACCTTCCTTCCTCCTCTAGACTCCTCCAATTTCCCTCTTCTTCACCTTTTGGCCCAAGATTTTCTTAGACTTTTCTCAAGTTATGGCATCAAATTGCTAGTTGATTGGAACCAGGACAGTATATGCTTCTAAGAAAAGAGGATCTGAAGTTAGCCTTGGGTAAAAGGAGATGGAGCAAAGGTCCTAAAACAGGAGGATGAGGGAAAAAACAAAGTATCCTTCCTTAGGAGGAATTGGTAACATTATAGAATATGCTTACTGGAGCAAAGACATCTCCATTTTCAGTTGGAAAAAAGATGAACAAGAAAAATACCACCAACACAGCTGGCTGAATACCAGAGGGCAGTGATGTATGTAAGATGTTTTCCTGTATCTAGGGAGAGTACCTATTAGAAGGAGGAGTAAGTGAATAATTAGTTTTCTGCTTCTTTGTCTTTCATCTCATTAGCAGAGCTGTGACTTTGACTACATAAATTGGAGAACTTGATGTGTAAAACCCAGTAATGAAGGTTCCATCATTTTAACAGTCAAAATTACTCATGGGCCTTCCTCATCTGTAGCTAACCTTTGGATACTTTGGATTTCTGATTCATCTTTTCTCTGAGTCACCCTCCCCTGACTCATGATAGTTCTCTGTCTTTGTGTACCTCCAAGGGGCCTCAGCTGTAATAATTTTGTTTCTCCTTATCACAGCCCAAGCATTGATAATTTGTTCTGAAATGTCATCCAGACATACCCACCAGAATACATACATCTTCTTGTGGCAAATGATGTCTTTTAATATTATGAATATAAATAAAAACAATTATTTTGTAATATCATTGATTAATGTTGAGAACACTCCATTCTTTGAAAATAAAGCCAAGTAATGATCTGCCTTCCTCTGTTTCTGACCCTAAGAGTGTATGTGGAATAGTGAGTTCTTTTTAATATCTGGAAGGGAACTTTGTCATTTTTTGTGTTTTATTTATTTTCAGACTTATACTATCATCTTTAAATATGAAGAACACTAATTCATGTGAAGGACAGTCTTGGACACCTAAGGAATCTAGCAAACAGTTGTATAATTGTGTTTTGAATTCAGATTGGATTAGAAGTAGAATCTTGGGCTTTTATCTAGGTTAACATCTTAAGTGGTTAGCTTCCCCCCACCACCACCCCAATCAGGATTCTGGGAGTTAAACATAGAAAATGAGTTTAGTGAATGTTTTCTCATTTCTTCCAAGGATGGTACAAGGCTAGATGCATAGGAGATAAGTTAGTTCATTACCTATAATAGATGCCATAGGGCATATGGACTTAAATCACTCCTCATGGAACGTAGCTGAGAAGAGTTGCTAGAACATAGACATGTAAGAGGATGATTTTATTTTGAATGAAAATGTCCATAGCTGGGTTGAAAAATTGGGTGTCATGGCTCAATTTCCTGAAAGTGTCAGCACCAGAATTTCAGAGTTACCAGTTATGTTTTTTTACCCTATGAAGTAGACCTGAAATTTTTTTTTGAAAGTGGTACAAGTATTAATGAATTAATTTATTCACTAATCTATTCATACATTTATTTTAGTTAGACCCATCTTGCCATGCCAACCTAGTATTCTGTTGAGATTATATCTTAATTAATTTCATTTAGGGCAAAGATGTATGGAAAAAATATTTCATCCAGTAAGAAACAATTTAAGATCATTAGTGCCAGCAATAGTATACTATCCTAAATTTATATTAAGGACTTTGTAAGTTTTTCTTTTATTTCTTAATTTAGTCATCTTGTAAAAAACAAACTCCTAATGTAATTTCAGTTATTTTTATTTTGCCAAGCAAATTGTTTATTTCATAAATATTTATGTTATATATTATTCCAATATGTAATGCTTATAAAATTATATACATGCAAATAAAAGTCTTAAGAACATTTTAAAAAGGGACAATATAGTATGACACTGTTACATTGAGCTATATTTCTTTACTTTAAAATCTGGGCATAGTTCAGAAAAAACTTAAAGTGAAATTAACATTTCAGTTGAAGTTACAAATGTAATTTCCATCCTGTCATATTTTGGTGACCTTTTGTGACAGCTTGTCTCAATTGGAGGAAAGCATTTTTACTTGCCTGATTAAAGATGTCGTTTGAAACCATTTTATTACTGGGGATACTGAAATTAATCTTGACACTTAGAACTACTAGAAAAATAATTGCTGATTCACCACATAAAATGTGTATGTGAACCAATCATGTAGTCAAGATTAGAATAAAAGTCGATGCTTGTTAGAAAGAGATTAAATTTTCTTACGAATGGGTCCTAGATTCTTTTGAACAGGAGGGGATACCATAGAAACAATTCCAACAAAATGAAATGTGGGTTGCAGGTTTTGGAAGAGCTTGGAGGTGATTATGGCATCAAAGGTATGAGACAGACTGTGGTAATATTTAAAATTGACTCTTTAGTGTAGAAAAATGCATAGGACTGCTTCTCAGTATTGTTTAATGAAAAGTTTTTGAAGTGTACATTTATTAGTATAAGATGTATTATCACAGTTTAAGTATTAAAAGAATGGGTCCATATTTAGAATCTTTTTTTGTTGGAGCTTAGAATAATGTGCCAGTGGAATAAGAATCTTTGCTTTGTATCCTAAAGTATGGGGCATAATGGTGAGCACCAACCAGGTGGTCAACAAATGCTTAAATTAGTGAGTTTTTTCTTACTGTGTGACTTTGCTCTCATTTGATATGACTTCCATATCACACTGCATGTTTATAAGAAATCTTTTGTCACAGAATAAAGCTTTTTATAAATCTGAAAATTTGGATGGGTTCTTTAATTCTTTAAGAGATTAGTATATTTTACTTGAGTGATTTCATTAATAATTTTGTTTTTAAATCAAACAACCAATAATGTATTGAGTCTCTGTACCATTGTATGTTATTAATACTTCTCGCACTGGCTTCAATATGGAAATTGTGCTCATGTAGGGACTAGTGTAGCCAACTGATGATAGTAGCAGTTTCTAAAAATTGGGTGGCAAGGACCAATTAAATCGGGAATGATTGCAGAATGCCTAGTACTTTAAGGGCAGTGGTTAAATTTTATCTCCCATCCCCCATTTTTCCCCACTTCCCTCAACATATTTCAGTGATCTGGAATGAAAATATTTTAAAATTTATAGGATAATTTGTATTTTATTACAAAGGAAAAATCCGTCATCACTGAACAGATAATGACTAATGGGTAATGAGTGTCACTGATTTTATCATGTATGCTACTGCTGGTTTAGTATTTATTGAGGGTGAAGCATTTGGTGTTCCAGTGTTTCATTATCATGTATTTCTTTCCTATTTTTTCTCTACAGACTATTTTAGCCTGTTGGAAGGTGTCTAACACATATGCGTTTTTTCAAATAGAACTTTCAGCAGAAGCCAAAGCTGCATTGCTTGAATTTGAAGAAAGAGAGCGACAGCATAAACAGGGACGCTATGGTTCAAGGCGGGGAGGAAGGAGAGGAGGTTCTTTAATGTGTCGTGGAATGGGAGACCAGAGAAGAGAGAACAGTGAGAGGGGAAGAATAAAAGATCACAGACCTGCTCTGCTTCCTACACAGCCTCCTGTAGTGGTAATTTTTATACTTTTATTGTGGTAGTCTTAAACTTCAAAACAAATAAAAAGTGCTTTTATGGATGTTACTTTTTCTTTGATCTCTTCTTAATCGGAAATTAAAGTTTAGTAATGGAATAATGCTTTCTGATCTATAATAAGGTTTTATATATAGTCTTATACATTCAATTCTCCCAGTAATGTAGTAGTAATAAATAATTCTGTGCCACAACTACTTACAAATAAAGAATTAATAAAGGGACCCAGTATCCTCAAATGGTAATAACCATAAAGGAGCCTTGTTTTTATTTTTCAGCTGTAGAGGGGTGCTTCTCTTAAGTATACCAGCACTTAAAATGCTGAATACATAAGCCATATAATTTTGGCAGTCGTTGTTTATTTTAAAAAAGTATTTTTCCCTTTATACTGTATCCCATAGATTTGTCTTAAACAGCAGTTTTTGGCATACTAATTTTCATCCTGTTCATAAACACTTTGATTAGAAGTCAATCATGTATTTGTCATTTCAGTTTAATTCCCTCTGTATTTGAAAAATACAAGTCTCAGAAGCAAAGACAGAGGAATTGTAGTGATTTTTTTTTTCATTTTTTAAATTAGCTTTAGGATTTTATGGCTTTTTCCTTCAGATGCCAATCTTCAAAGCCAAATTTATTTAATATGAATATATGTTCACTGTGTCTACCACATGTCTGTCTTACATTTTTATATGAATTTAGAGGAAAACCATACTTTTATTGTGTGTAGAGATGTCGTATTTTAGGATGCATACATTTGTGAAATAACAAAGTAGAAAAGATTATTGTTTTAGCATGAGAATTCCAATTCTGATATGAAGGAAGAAGACAAACTGTGGTTTAGTTATAGCATGCAGAATTTGATGACATTAGTAACTGTTGCTTGTTTATAAAACTCTTTTGTTTTTATGTATCTCTGATACAAAAAAGGGTTGACCTTCATTTTCTTTTTGCCCTTTGCCATCTCCCTACCTTCACCCCTCAGCCCACACCTGTCATATATTAAATAGTAAATTCAGTTATTTTGATTTGTTGGGGGGAAACAGCCACACAAGAGACCTGTTTTGGGGTAACTGTGACTCTGTGATCTTGGAAAAGTCAGTGAACTCCCTGTTTTCTTATCCAACAAGAGGAAATACATGCCTAGCTCCCCTCATTCAGAGGGGCTAAACTGAAAGAATATGTAAACACGTGAAAAGAGTTTCAGAAGTTTGAGTTGATATGAATCCCGACGTAGATGGAGATCTCCAGAATTCTAATGTGACTGGTTGTTAAAGGTAACTGTGGAGTAGGAATAAACCAAATCACTGACAAGACTATGTCTAATGGAGCTTTGGACTTTAAGCTATATTTCAATCTTAACTAGTCAGTGATGTTTTAAAATTGCCAGTTCACTAAAAAGATCAAGGTTGTGTGAGATGAACTTAATTTCACCTACTACATCTCCCTGTCAAGGCAGACATACTTTGATCCTCCTCACCCTCCCATTTCAGGGCTGTTCTGTCTCTTTAACTCTTCACTCCTAAAATTCTGGAAAGAATTTGCTGCTTCCCAGTTTCTCTTGGTTCCTTACTATCTGGATTTTATTCTTTTCACTCTAGTGAATTGTACTCTTAGATTTGTGACTTTGCCTTTTTGTCAGTTCTTATCCTGTTTGACTACTGTTTGGGTCCTTTGACATCACTAATTATCTCCTTTTTCTTGAGCCTCTCTTTTTGGGTATATGAGATTTTATTCGCATGTTCTAGCTTTGCCCTCTTCTCTCCTTCTGTTTTTTTTCCCAAAACAATTACATTGTCACTCAGGGTTTTGTTCTTAGTCCTTTTTTTATTCATTGTTCTCACTTGGCAGTATGTACCTTCCTGTCATCTTCTGTCTCTGTGTAAATCTTAGTTTCTAATCCTGACCATTTTTAAGTTCTAGAGTCTCTGTTTCTCAGCTGTCCATATATATATGTCTCCAAATGGATGTTTCAAACTTCACTTAGGAGCTCTGGTAGCGTAGTGCTTAAGACACTTGACTGCTAACCAGAAGGCTGGCGGTTCAAACCCACCAGCCACTCCTTGGAAGGAAGATGGGGCAATCTACTTCCATAGTGATACTGCCTCAGAAACCCAAGGAGGGGTCGCTATGAGTCAGGTCCGACTCGATGGCACATAACAACAACAACAACAACAACAAAACTTCACTTGCTTAAAACAACACGTGCTCTTTCCTTTAAAACTCTTTTATGCTTTTGAGTTAATGAGTATGCATTTTGGTCATTTTCAGCTCAGTTCAACTTAACTCAGGCATAACTATGTTAATGTGCTGTATGTGGGGATACAGAAGTGATAGACAAGATTCTTGGTCTTGCAAGTAATTATAAATGTGATGAGTTGGAAGAGAGAATGTATAGGATTCTCTGAGAATGTGTCACAGTGGATTTAAACTAGTACTGGAGTCTTTGGAAAATACCTCCCTAAGGACGGGGCAGTTAAGCCAAGCTATATACAATTTGGTTTCAAGATTAGATTCATTGTACCTCTGAAGTGTCCTTCAGACCATGACTATTTCTTCCATTGAACTCTTGACAAAACCTATTAAATGGTCATCTTCTTTCACCTTTATATCTAAGCCATCTTACCCATTGTTAGCAATAATCTTCATAAAACATACTGCCCTCCAAAGAGATCATCAGTGGTTCCTCATATGCATGTATGTATATGGCATAATGACAAAATCATTTGTTTGCAGTTCAAAAGCCCACCCTAATTTGGCATGTCCCAGGGAAAACAGCTTGTTGTACTAGAGAGTTGATACGTAATATTTTGCTGCTTCTGCTGTTAAGTGGTAGTATAGCCAGTATTGAGTAGTGAGTGGTTAAAAGCACAACTTCTTGGAATCTCATTCTCTCACTTCAGACATCAGCTCTTCTACTTAGTGCTATGTGATTTTGAAAAAAGAACCCTAATAGAACTTACCTCTTAGAATTACTGGGAGGACTAACCCACCAGCTGCTCCATGTGAGAAAGATGAGGCAGTCTGCTTCTTAAAGATTTATAGCCTTGGAAACCCTATGGTGCAGTTCTACTCTATTCTATAGGGTCACTATGAGTTGGAATGGCAGTTGGTTTGGTTTTTGGTTTATCAGTTAATTTACATACAAACCTTTGAATACGTACTTAAATATGGGCAAGACTTGGTACACATTAACTGTTGCTGCTATTGTTACTGTTACTGCTTTCTTCTTTGGTGACTTTGTTATTCAACAAAATAACTCCAAGATCTTTGACTACTTTGAGTATATAATTTCCACACCCTTGCCTTCCTTCATCCTCTTTTACTATGTATATAGGCATACTATTATCCTTTCAGTTCACCAAACAGGTGAGTATTTCTTTCTCTGTGCTTCTTTCGGTGTATATCATTATTCTTTATGCATAGCACATCTCTTTTCTTCCTTTAGGACCTCATTTAGATACTACCTTCTCAAAGATGATGTACTCTGTCTCTCTAGTGGAATGACTGTCTTTCTCTCCCCCTTCTCTCTTTCTAATACTTTTGTGCTTCTCTTCCACCTTGTTTCTGTAACAGGGTTACTTACACATACATTTTGGCTGCTGCTTCTTTTTCATTACCAGATTCTCTGTAGGACAAGGAGTAGAGCTGTGTATGTAGGGAGGACTGAGCATCTTGTCTGTTGTACGCAGCACAGGACTTTGCTCATTGTAGTGATTTTGGTTTTTCCTTTCAAAGTTTATGCCAGGCATTTTGGGGTTGAGATTGGTATTTTTTTCTTTCTTGACTTGAGCTCGACTCACATTGTGAGATAGTACTCCTTGTTGTAAATTAGCATTGTTGTTTTTGTTGTTATGTGCCGTTGAGTTGGACCCGACTCATAGTGACCCCTCCTTGGGTTTCCGAGGCAGTATCACTATGGAAGTAGATTGCCCCATCTTCCTTCTGAGGAATGGCTGGTGGGTTTGAACCACCAGCCTTCTGGTTAGCAGTCAAGTGCCTTAG